TAATAATAATAATAGAAAGGAAAGACTTGTGTCTTTGAGACATAATGAGATTCGTGACCCTTTGTGTGACTTGTCATCTATCGTGTGGAGCAATGTTGTGAGAGAGCCCATTATACAAGAACCAAATGCGACTACTAACTCAGAGGGTCTTGTTGCTGATATGGCTGCTCGAGGTGTCTGGCAGAGGCAGTGTACTGCCATGTTTGATGTCCGAGTAGTTGACTCTGATTCCCCCTCTTATATCAGTGCTAACAGGACCCCTCAAGCTGTCTTAGCTACTGCAGAGAATGATAAGAAAACAAAATATGTTGCAGCTTGTGAGCAGTGGCGGATCTGGGTGCAAGTTAATGGTAGGGCCAGGAAGTGGGTGTGTCCACTTTTCAACCAGTTATTTTATGGTTATGCATCTTTTGGCCATTTTTATGATGGGTTTCAACAATTTCCTCATCTATGCTGTGCTTATAATGCTCTTCAAGCACTTGTAAGTACTCTGGTGTGGCTTGTGGTTTGCTTTATCAAAACTTGAGGTAGGGAATTGTTTACATTGAATCTAATGAATCTCATTACTGACTTCTGATGCCCGGGCCTTGGCCCGTCTAGGCCCGGGCCCAGATCCGCCACTGCTTGTGAGTCCAACCACTGTAGTTTCACTCCACTGTGTTTGACAGTTGATGGTGTTATGGGTAGTGAAATGAGATCCTTTATTGATCGTCTAGCTGACCATCTTTCTGTTAGATGGGATCTACACTACAGTGTGACTGTGAACTGGGTTAGAACTAAACTGTCCTTCGCTCTACTTCGAGCAACCAACTTATGTATTAGAGCAGGGATATAATAGACTAACGTAACCGGGATTGGTTACGGACCGGAAGTCAATTATCAGACTCTGTTATTATTCATTAAATTAATGGCAGCAATCAATGGCATCTTAGCAAAATGGCTGAATGTAAATTGTTATAACTAAAAAACCAGCAACAGGGGAAATTCAAAAACAACTTTAAACAATGTAAAAACATGTAAAGGGTCTCTTTATTGTAGTTTCATAACAATAGAATGTAATCTATTCTCCTGAGAGGTACGCAAAAGTCATACCATGGCAAACTGGTTTTTCTTGAATATTTCCTGAAGAACACTCTGGAGAAACAAGAGAAGTTTCCTAAACAATGTAATAAAGTAAGTAGCAACATTTAATGACAAAAATACATTCATTGAAACAAATATTTGGGCTACAGAGGTACGCAAATGGAATTTTAGCCGTAAATTGAGGATTTAACTAATTTAAAACAAATATTAACTTA